CCATCGCTCGCAGTTGTGGAAGAAAGACTGCCCCCTCCCCCCATACCCATCCCTCGCGTATGTGTTCCATGTGTTGGGAATGGATGCTCTCAACCAAAGGGTCTTGGCCCGAGAGGCTGCGTCAAGATCTATGGGAGGCTCCCGGGCAAAATGCGTTGACCTCCAACTGACCTTGTAACGCCCCCTTGGCACCGCCTCCCGGTGGGCTCGAACATACGGCAAAAACCGCGACCTCTCCCCACCATTTCCCACCTAAATGTGTTTTCTATACTTAATTCTGGTTTCGCCGCATTTCCTAGTTTATCTGCTTTCTAATAATAATCCCCCCCCCTCGGACCGGTAAAGTTGCTTTCTAACTATATCCTGTCATTTCTTCATATTCTATGTTATTCTCCGTTGCTCACACTTCGGTTCCTGTGGTTTATGAAATTTCCACCCCCACCCCCGCCCCTATGTACTCCTTGATACCCTATTTATTCGCTATCGCTAATTATTAACTCATCTCGACTATTCCTCACCTTGCTCATTTAATATTCTAGCTTCTTTCCTAATTTTGTTAATGCTTGTTCTTTACTCTGTATTAATTAAATAAGTATACCTAATAAATATATAAGAGATAAAAACTACTATCTAAATTTAAGGTTGCATTTTATTCCCTGCTGCTGCGCGCTTATCACTAGCGTTCTATTCCGCAATCGCTCTGCTTTCGTTTTGCGCACGCCGCTTCGTTGTGTTCTCGCCCTCTTCGCGTAGATTTCTTTCCGCTACCGCCCGCTCGTCGTTAATATCGTTAATAATTCGCTCCGCAGTCGCTCTGTTGCGCTCAGTTTTTACGTTTCGCGCCTCGTTTCCCATCTCGTTTCGCGTTGTTTCATCTTCCCTTACGTCCTTTAACCCCTTTCATTCTCGTCGCTTGCCGATTTTCCCCCCGCGTTTACCTATTACGCCCCAGTCTTCTTCCACAACGCTATGCGTACATCATTATAAAACCGCGTAACTGAAGTAGTTAGCTACCGTCTTGCGATTTGCGATATCTACAAGTCTAGTATACTCCATCTTGCTAATAGAATTCAGTCGTACATATATTTTTATATTTGCTAAAGACATTGTTAATTATAACTCTCTTCCTCATCATTACTTGAATAAACCTAATTAATGAAAGGTATCAACCTGTAGATTTCACTCTTTAACAACACGCCACCACGATCCCACATTCTTTTAGATTAGTTATAGTAAAAACGAGTCGCATAATAGGCAAAAGCCACTCTTTGCTTCGTAAGTGCTGTAAATACCTTGGATATGTTCCACTCGTACTAGGCACTACGCGGTGGCTCTTGGCCCAAGTGGTTTCGTCAAGTTCCTCGTGGAAGCGTTCCAGCTTCCAACTTCATCCTGTAACGCCACCCGCTGCCGCCTTCCACTGCGTCCGAACATACGGTCCTAAAACCGCGACCTCTCCCCACCACATCACACCTACTAAATTGCTAATGCTCGATATCGCGCCTAATTCCCCCCCTCAAAAATTAAAAACTTCCCGTTGCTTTACGCAACTATTCGCGTCTCTATGTTTTACTAATATGGCCCTTAACCTTTTACTTCAGTCTCTATTTCCCCGAACGATGTAGTTTCTCCTCCCTCTGAACCGACAATTGATCAGAAGGGTAGTTGACACAGTTGACCTTTCTCCCTTCTCTCCCCCGCTCCGTCGGTCCCCGTTGCGTGCCCCCTAATGGTGCTATGACCAGGCTGACATCGGTTTCCTCCCTTGCAGGTTTGAGTCGTTTGATCGGTCGTGTATATGTTTTGTTTCTCCGTCTCTTCCACTCCTGCTCTTCTTCTTCTTTCTCTCGCTGTCTTCTCGCTTCTTCCCCTCCTCTTGCCGTTTGAAAAGCGCGCCATGCCTCCGCCATCTTGCTTGTTGCCGCGTGCCATCGCTTCACCCTTTAGGACCGCTCTCCAAGCGCTTGCAGTGTTCCTTCATCCGCCATGCTGGCGGCCATGTTGGATGTTTGCGAACCGGCCTTTACGCTCTACGCTTTCCCTCGCGCGAAGATGCCCACGTGTTCGTACGATATATCGAAGCTTGCTCGACCGACGCCATTATTTATTTACTATCGAATCACAAAAATACGAAAATAGCCAAAACTAATCACCGCGTGCATTCAATATGCCTCATTTGCCCTTTCCCGTATTCTAAATCCCTAATGACATTTACATTATTAATTAATTTAATTTCTGCGACTTTCTCTCGCAACTTCGACATGTCGCACGACCACGTGTTCGCGCAAGTCCTTCTTCGAGGGCAACTTTCATCCTTAAATTGCACTATTTTCACTCGCGATGTATAAAAATAATCGTATTTAAGTCGCGCACATATTTATTTTATTCCGCGGTCGACCCGAACACTCGTTTCCTCGCTTTCGATTACTCATGGGTTTGCACCCCATGCTTTCCCTCGCGTCGCGTGAAGGTCGCCATTACCGTAATTTCGATTTTTATTTATAAATTCATTATTTCACCTCCGATTTTTACAAAACTTCACCGCTCACTTCCCCCACGGTCTCCCCCCACTTCACAACATTATTTATCACACTTTAACCACTTTTTCCCACCAAAATTGAACTTTATCGCGGAGCAACCCTCGAACACGTGCGCTCGCCACGACAGCCAGCCGTGCTCTCCTCAGTCATATATATAACTAACCTAACCTAGCCTAATGTAATCTAACCCAACCTATACATTCATAGTTTACAGTGCAATTATAAGAATTTTTGAAAAATTATGTAGGATCATTAAGGTGCCCATAAAGCTCTCACGTGTGATAAAATCTCACGACTGCCCAACACTGGTTGAGCATGTTTCATAATCAGGAATAACGCGCATATCTCACTTCCTCAGGAAAAATGGCAGTCAAGGAGAACCTATATACCCAGCGATTTTTTATTTTGTATATGAAGGACTTCTGTATCTTTTTCGCTATTGATACATTTTGTTCGCTCTGTATATGACCGATGAAATACAAAGTAGATAGCAATGGGCCTGCATAAACAGCAAGAGCCTACTGAAGTTCACTGAGATGCGTGAATTGACTATAAATGCCATAAAATGAATAAAATTTCTAATTGTCATTTCACAAGTATTTTTACAGTATTTATTTTTAATTTCCCACTTGTAAACATCTTATCAGTCACGGCTCGTATTAAAGCTTGATCATCAGTTTATTAACAAATCAAATTGCATTCTTTCGCCATAAAATACCGTGACATTAGCCAATAATTTTATGACTATAGTTGTATATTTACACACACATAAATACTGTTTAAAAATATAATGCATGTTACTGATTGTATACATTGAATATTGAAGCAGTATTTAAAAATGCTTTATTATTGGATGTTTCAAATATTTGGAAGTAATTTCAAATTGAATTTATTAATATGAATGGTATGATAATAATTTTTTGGAACTATATTAAAAGTTTACTATGTACTTATTTATTCTCATAGGTTATGCCACACTTAAACATTGATAAGTTTTCTGTAGCAAATAAAAAGGAATATTTTACGTAAATTGATTTAATTGTTAATTGCTGTTTATACAAATTTAACAATTGGAAACAATATTGGGAAATAATGACTTCAATTATAAAACTTCATGCTGTTTCGGGGGCTATGGATGAGTCCCCTCCTTGCTATATATTACAAGTTGATGAATTAAGAATATTATTAGATTGTGGATGGGATGAAAACTTTGATCAAGAATTCATAAAGGAATTAAAACGGTATGTAGATAATTTCTACTTTATATGTCCAAGTAATTTATAACTACATCTTTTAAAGTATTTTTGGAAATATCTATTTTATTGTAAATAAACAGTGCAACCATATAATATCTTTATATAACTTTTCAGACATGTACACCAAATAGATGCAGTATTATTGTCATACCCAGATCCATTGCATTTAGGTGCTTTACCATATTTAGTTGGAAAATGTGGTTTGAATTGCCCAATATATGCAACCATTCCTGTATATAAAATGGGACAAATGTTTATGTATGATATGTATCAGGTATTTTTAATGCAACAAAGTTCGGTAACTTCATTCAAAGATATACATAAAATTAACAATATGAATTATTATAGTCTCGCCATAATATGGAAGATTTTGATCTTTTCACCCTTGATGATGTTGATGCAGCATTTGACAAAATTGTTCAACTAAAATATAATCAAAGCATATCAATGAAAGGAAAAGGATATGGAGTTACTTTAACACCTTTACCAGCTGGTCATATGATTGGAGGAACTATCTGGAAAATTGTGAAAGTTGGAGAAGAAGATATAATATATGCTGTTGACTTTAATCATAAAAAGGAACGACATTTGAATGGTTGTGAATTAGAGCGGTTGCAAAGACCATCTTTGTTGATAACTGATGCTTTCAATGCTACATATCAACAAGCTCGACGCAGAACTAGAGATGAAAAGTTGATGAGTATGTAAATGGATATAAATATTAGTCTAGTTTATAATCCTATGAATAATACTTTATATTTAATAATATTTTGCAGCCAATATCTTACAAACGCTACGCGGCGGTGGCAATGTTTTGGTCAGTGTCGATACGGCTGGTCGTGTATTAGAATTAGCACATATGTTGGATCAGCTCTGGCGTAATAAAGAGTCTGGTTTACTTGCATACTCGTTAGCTCTTTTAAATAATGTCAGTTATAACGTCGTAGAGTTCGCTAAATCACAAATAGAATGGATGAGCGATAAATTAATGAGGAGCTTTGAAGGAGCTAGAAACAATCCATTTCAGTTCAAACACTTACAGCTGTGTCATAGTATGGCTGAACTAAATCAAGTTCCTAGCCCAAAGGTTAAAATCAACAAAATGATTAGTTTCTTAACTCTATAATTCAGAGTAAATTTATACATATGAATTTTTAAGGTTGTACTTGCAAGCACTCCAGACATGGAATGTGGTTTTTCAAGAGAATTATTTTTACAATGGTGTGGCAATTCTCAAAACAGTATTATATTAACTAGTAGGACATCGCCAGGAACACTTGCAAGAGATTTAGTAGAAAAAGGAGGCAATAGAAATATTACATTAGAAGTAAAAAGAAGAATTAAATTAGAAGGCCTTGAGTTAGAAGAATATCAGAGGAAAGAGAAATTGAAACAAGAGCAGTTAAAACAAGAACAGATGTATGTTATTGTATAATGTTATAAAAAAATTTGTTAATACCTTAAATAACATTAATATTATCAGGGAAACTGCTGATGTGAGCTCTGAATCTGAGGATGAAATAGAAGTTGGTGGTGGAAGGGGAAAACACGATTTGTTAGTGAAACAAGAAAGTAAACCAGGTTTCTTTAAACAAAGTAAAAAGCAGCATCCTATGTTTCCATTTGTAGAAGAAAAAATTAAGATAGACGAATACGGAGAAATTATAAGGTATTATTTTTAATACTAAGTACACTAGATATAACTTTATGGTATATGGTATTAGTATATCATATTTCATTTCACTTATTTCAGACCAGAGGATTATAAAATAGCAGAGACCATGCCAGAAATAGATGATAACAAAGAAAATATGGAAACAAAACAAGAAGATGCTGCCCATCATCCAGAAGTAGCTACTGACATTCCAACAAAATGCATTCAGGTTACACGTACAATGACGGTTAATGCATCTGTTACCTACATAGATTTTGAAGGTAGATCTGATGGAGAATCGCTACAAAAAATTTTGGCGCAGTTACGGCCTCGCAGAGTTGTGTTAGTTAGAGGATCACCAAAAGACACAGAAATTTTAGCTCAACAAGCACAAAGTGCAGGTGCACGAGTATTTATTCCAGGTAGAGGAGAAACATTGGATGCTACGACAGAAACGCACATATACCAAGTAATATATTTAATTGAATTACACGTACGAATTAAAATTTTATTACGTATCTATAAATAATGTTCATTTTTAGGTTCGCTTAACCGATGCGCTGGTCAGTGGTTTGAACTTTTCAAAAGGAAAGGGTGATTCTGAAGTAGCATGGATTGATGCAATGATAACAGCCCGCGATCAAGTGTGTCGAGATGCTGTTGCTGACACTGAACCAGATAGTACAATAGATCAAAGCGACAAAATACTTACTTTAGAACCATTACCACTAAATGAGGTATTTCACAAAATGAAAATATTATTAAGAACGTAAATACATGTATCATTATATTTAATAGGTCCCTGGACATCAAACAACGTTTATAAATGAACTAAAACTATCTGATTTTAAACAGATACTGAATAAAAGTAATATACCCTCTGAATTTAGCGGAGGAGTGTTATGGTGTTGCAACAATACCATCGCAGTTAGAAGGGTTTGTATTAAGTTCTTCTAATTACATGTATGAAGATACATATATCAGTGTAATTTTGTATAATTTTTTAGCACGAAGCTGGGAAAGTCATATTGGAAGGTTGCATTTCTGAAGATTATTATAAAGTACGCGAATTATTGTACGAACAATATGCAATTGTATAAAAAATTCTCTTTGTACTAATAACTGTAAATTTTAAATAAAATCTTGTATAATTTTTTCATTAATTATATGCCATAATATACTAAAATTAGGGGATTGAAATGGTTCATGCTGCGCATAGATAGGTACTATGTAATAATGTATGAATAAGTGATAATTTATAGATGTTGCGCATTGATAATTTCAAAAAGGGGCGGGAAAATTTGGTTAACCTAACATTTTTTATTTTAGTTATCAAACACGTCAGCTAATTCTCAGCTAAAAACTTATATTATTGTAATAATTATTATCAAAATAATATTTTTAGCATTAACAGAAAATATTAAACAATACAATTATCGAATATTAAATTTAATCAATGACTTATTATCGGAAATTGTGTGATATAGTGAGCAAGGTAAGGTAGTGACAATGAGCAATACAATATTTAATTCAATGAATAACAATAAATTCATTATGTTTTACATATACGTAACGTTATAATTTATGTAAAAATAATATTTAATGTTTTTATTTCAGAATTGTATTAATATGTTTTATATCACTTTGTAAGACATGAATTGACATTTAAAACATAAATCAATGATTAATTATTTACTACATCAAATTTTAAAGAATGCGAAAATACTACCAAGCTGCACTTGCAATAACTGCTGTAGTGAGTCTAGTGTCATTACTATTTTACAGACATGAGTATAATAAGCTGAGATATGTCTTGGAAGTTTTCAATTATTTTGGTAAACCAAACCAAAAAAGTATTGAAGTAAATTGTACAAATGATGTACCTATATTTACTAAATTTAATATGAAATTTGATGAACCACTTCCTTCTTGGCAAAGGATAGATAATGATTTATATGTTTATTCTGCATATAATATTCGCAAAAAAGAAGTTCAAGTAATAGGTTTTGGTTCATTAGGTAGCATCAAAGACATGCAATGTATTATATTCTTTGAGAATGAAATTGATCCTGTATTAGGAAGTTTTAAATATCTTCCAATTAATAATTTAAATGGAAGTTATAATGGGTATCATTTCTATTGCACATATACTCAGAATAAAATACCAGTAGGAATAACATTTCTTACAAAATCAAATACAAATCTTTATAACACACCTATATTACCGGTTAAAAGTAAACCACATAATTTGAATAACACTAATATAGGAGTATGTGTATCACCACCATTAATGAAACCAATGCAGCTATTAGAAATGATTAGTTTCATAAATTTTCATGATACAATTGGAATAAATAATTTTATTGCATATGATTTTGGTATTTCAAATGAATTCAATAGCAACTTGAAAGAATTATCCCAATCTCAACATCCACACTGGAAATTTACATACACAATAGTACCATGGAATTTTCCTTTCTCTGAGATTGATTCTAGTGTAATAAAAGAAATTATACAAGCAGATTGTCTATACCGTACATATAATAAAGTTATGTATGTTATTACATTGTCTTGGGAAGAATACATAGTTTTAAGATATCATCATTCCCTTGTAGATTTAATGGCAGACTTTAAACGAAATAGAATGAAAGCAGATCGTTACAAATTAAAAACTTTAACTTTCTGCACACAACAAACAGATAGTGCAGCTAGTAAAAATTCAGTGTTACTGATATTTAAGAAGACACATTTTAATCCAAGTGTCATAGATAATCAATCAGTATATGTATATAATGCACATGAAGCACTAGAAAAAAACAATATTTATACACGGGAAATTGGAAAAGATTTAGTTACATTAAATCGTTATACATATTGTTTTGGACGATTAAATCAAGAAACAGACAGTGAAGATACTTCAATTTTAAGATTTGTAGAAGGCATCCAAAATTCATCGATATACAAAAAATTTGTAATAGAAAACAGACTTTTACAAAATAAAAAGAAATAAATATATTTTGCCATTATTTCAATAAAAAAATTAGCATATAGGTTCAATACGATTATAAAATAATTTTAATTCAAAGACATAAAGTATTATAAGACTTTAGTATAAGAATGTAATGGTACAATGTAATATGTATAAAAATTTGTTACAATTAAATACTTACCATTTTAATATTTATGAATTTATAATTTATGTATAAATACAAGACTCTCTTATTTTCTAATATCTTTTAGATTACATATTTTTCATATTTCAAACATTTTATTATTAAAAAAAAAAAAAGAAAAAAAAATAGGAAACAATTGTAGTTTGTTTGGCACAGTCCTTAAAAGTAAAGAAATTTTTACAACAAACATTAATATAAGTGTTAATTGCATGTACATGAAATTTGTAATACAGTAAATATACATAAACAAAAGATTAAAATTATGATTTTATTACAAATTATACAAAGATCCTGCGATTTTAACTAAAATTTCAAATTTTTCATATTATGGTAGTAAAATTGTTACTGTATAATGGAAACATTAAATATTCAAAATAGAAATTAGAAACAATAAAGCAAGTGCCATTTAATTATTAAAAATATATTGAAACGTTACTTTTAAATATTTCAATGTATATTTAAGAATCGTCTAATTCATACATCACTTAAACTCCCATAACTAATAAATCAGAACAAATATTTATTTCAGTCGTTGAATTATTGTTGTGTTTTGTAAGCCAGCTTCTTCGATAGTTTTATCTTCTATAAGCTCTTTAGTAGGATATGCTGTTAATAAACTGAACTCTCTCATAGCATATTGAGGTCTCATACTAAAATACAATTAACTAAGGAATAATATAGATATATATATTTGAAGGAACTGAAATTTATATACTAATATGAATACTATTTAAAAAAGGATACGTTGTTATATACTGTCTCAAGTCATTGATGGTATGAGTTAAATTCAATTGAACTTTTACACTGGTTCCATCAGCAAGACGAATTTGCAATGTTGTAACAGGCTTTGATTCATCTAAATTTAACTGTTTTTTTGCTTGTGATTCATTTGCTGTTTGGTCTGCAAGATCTGCTGGTATTGTCATACCAACTGTTGCTGGAGAGGGGCTATAAAAATATTGATAAAAAATATGTAAAATATATTTTAAATAATATTTATACAGGAAATATAGTTCTATACCTTCCTAACATGTGTCCTTTTCCAGTGAAAACTTTTACTTTGGCTTTCGGAGGGACATATGTTTCATGATGATGATCTTCCATATCCAGCCGTGCTTCAGTACCTTGAATCTGTTGACGTATTTCTGCTGGTATTTCACCGCGTTTAACAGTTTCAAGAAATTCTCTACTTTCTGGATCAGTGTATAATCGAAGATCAGAATCATTTATAGTAAAGCCATCTTTCCATAGTTTTAAAGTAATGAGCCCAGAATTTGTTTGCTGATGACTGGAAGATGTAGCAGTGACAACTGAAAAAAGAAGAAGTTACCTATATCATGAATCTTACTACATTACAAAGATCAAATAATATTTGTAACATACTTTCAGTGTCAGAACTAGTTTGACCTAATTTGTATCCAGTACCACTAAAAGTATTTGGTCTTTGCTGTCCACTTGGTTTTGGTTCTGAGGCAATAGATTGTCTTTGACACGATTTAAACATATCACTAACAATGTCCTTTTTCTTCCCTGGTCCTAAAATCTGTTGTCCACTTCGTTCAGACCCACCAGCATAAAAAGCTTGTCCTTCTTCATCTTCTGGACTACTTTCCCTGTCTTTAAGATTGTTAAACATTGCAAATTTAACCTTTGGTTTCAATTTATCTGCTGTTGATTTTCCTTCCATTTCAGAAGACTTCACTCCTGCAGCTTTTGCTGATATATCTGTATAATCCTCTTTTGATGTACTTTCGGTAGATTCAGTAATTAATGGTGGTTCATCATTTTCATAAAAACTAGCAAGAGCAACCTACAACAGTTTAATATAATCCTTAGATGTAAGAAATTAATAGAAAAATCTAATAATGAATCACTCTAAAAAGAATGTAAGGTAACCAATCTTATTTTTAGGTGTACTGACATTGACAATCTTCCCAAAATAAAATATCTAATAATTATAATAACATCAATATAATATAACGACGATGTAAGAGATTGTCGCGAAACATTAATTAATTAAATAATGATTTAGTACTCTAAGAAAACTCATACGTTGTTTAAAAATATTTTAAAGTTACGCGATCAAGTATTATCAAAGTATTAAAATTGATTACGTTTGAGGTTATAAAACTAACGTTGAAGTTAGATAAATAAGCAAATATTGCCTAATAAATTTGATATCAAAATAAAGTTTATAAACGGTATATTAAATATGCTGTCTCACCTCGAGCTGCCAAGCAGATGAGTCGAGGTAAAATCGTGCTCGTTCGGGTTCGACACCAGTTACATCTGTAAATTGCGAAACCAACTCTTCGTGGCTCGCCATTGAAAGCAAGTATTAAGTCACTCAAAATGTATTATAGCTTGTACCTGCTACTTGTAGCTTCAACGATTCCTCTTGCAATAATTTTCTTTGTTCAGTTATTCAACTTTACGTCAATTTCTTCAATTTACCTGTCATTCCTTCCACTTCCATGGAACTGAACCGGATATATAAGCACATAGAACGAAGGAATGCGGGAAATGTTTGAATGCAAACATCTTAAATGCTTTATTACATTTTTTTAATTTTACAAATTATGTAAAACTGTTATAGAAAACTATGTATAAATATGACATAATAAAATTATTTTGTATTAATATATATTGTATATCATTTTATATAATAATTTTCTTCGTGATTTACTACGTAGTGGACAGGGTCGCCGCGACGTAAATGTTCCGTGGAACTTCATCTCTACGATTTATATTTATAGATAATTATAAAAGTATATATATTTGTAAAATTTACATATACTAATGTATGATAAAGTTTTCTTGTATTATTGTTTTACATGAACTTCCACATATGATAGGGGCACTCCCCTACCATTATGGGGACTCCAGGATCTATCGAGCGCGCTTTTCTAATAAACCAATATGATTGTAATTTTCTGTTGAGTTTTAAGGGATAAATCGTCATGTGTTATATGGTCACACGTTGTAACATCCACGCATTTTACCGCAAATATCTATGCATGGAGACTTCGGCAAAAAACAAAATTTTTTTGTTAATCCTTATTATTTCTGTGGCTTCATTCATGGCAATATAACAGGAGTCTACGTATCAATCGAAATTACGGAATATGACAAAACAAAGCTGTACCATGTTCTATCCAATAACTGTGAGATACAGTAGTTTCCAAAGGTATATTGATGATAAAATTTTTTAAAGCCAATTCAGTGTTTTTATCATTGTCTTGAATGATAGTTGTATATACAGGGCATTCGTACATTTCCTTTATATCTTTTTTATTTTGTGAACATTTGAGTCTTATAGGTGGCATATCTTGCCAAAATTCATTTGCAAAACTTTCAGCTAACTTATTTGTATCAGAATTCCATTGAGCACCACACAAATGTAACCCATGTAAGAAATATGTATTAATGTCTTCTTCGTCAGTTTCTTTTGTTTGAACTTGAAAGTCGAATCCAATTTCTTGGATAGGTATATTATATGTTTTGGAAAAAGTTAACTGCACAGCAGAAAGAAACATTTTGCAATGAAATAATGCATTGAACCAAATATTTTTTGGACATCCTTCATTTACCCATTTTTTAATAAACATTTCATGGTTTAATAGATTATCGATATAGTATGCCAAATTTCCAATAATAATATTGTTTTGTATAATTATCCAAATATGTGGAATTTTATTTTGATACAGTTCTTTTGCTAATTTTTTTAAAGAATCAGAAAATGGAACATAGCCAGTCAATGCTAATTTCAAGTTGCTCAATGTATTAGTTATAGTTTCTAAAATGTATTTTAATAATTCTATTTCACAGAAGAGGACTCTTCCTAAGGGTTCATCTAGCAGAGAGGTATGTTTCTCTTGTATTTCATTGATTTCAACTAAATTAGGGAGTTTATTGATGAGGCCATCAATTAAAATCAATATCTGATCTTCAGATGATTGTTCATTTAATAAAGGAAGAAGAGGATTCATTGAAGAAATTGATGAGAAAAATTCCTTAGCCATCATAGTCTGCTGAATAATAAGGCCATTCCTACTTGATCCAAAAATTTCAGGTGATAAATCCAATTGCATTTTTTCAATATGTTTAATTATGTGATTATATTCACATCTTTGTGGTACTAATCTTTCTATCTCATTTGTACAGGTATACTGATGACTTTGAATTATGCCTGAATTGCAGTAATTAGTTAGAAGATGCTTTAGGCATCTGCTATCAAAATCATTTTCAATTTTTCCCCCATAATTGCATTCCCCAATGAAGTACAAAAGAATACTGAAAGGTACATAATCATTATTATTTATTAAATTTTGAAGTTGCATAATAGATATTTGTAGGTCTGTACTATCAAAGTTATATGGTATGTTCCAACCTAGAATCCCAAAGTTCTTTCTTTCTTTTATAATAATATGGAATAGGCATAAACTAAAAAGAAGTTTTGAAAATACTACATCTTTCCCTGGGCAACTTTCAAAAAATTCTTTATTTACTATAGGTTCAGAATGGTAGATGTTCAGTAATGTTTCCTTAACATTTAAAGGATAGTCATATGTTATTTTTATACTATCTTGTAAAATACTAACTGGGAATTCTTTAGTAGGACGACTAGATAGCCACAATCGAAAATCTAAAGATACAGTGGAAATACTACAATTTTCACAAATTTTTTCAAGACATACCATCCAGTTAGGCACTAAATGGCAATTTTCTAAGAACACCCAACCTCCTTCCTTTTGAGCTTTTTGTACAGAAAGTTCAGCTTTTTCTTCTTGTCCCTTGCTCATTGATAAAGATGTAAATTTTGAAAAGTTGCCTCTTTTCCTTGCATATGCAGAAATGAGTGGTAATGGTGCTGAACAAGTTGGTAAAATAAATAAAAGTGGAGTCAAACAATTGGATTCTGCATATGATTCAGATATTTTAACTTGCAGAGAGTAACTATTTATACTTCCTAAAATATCTTTTGTTATTTGCATAATTTGTATTATAATCTTATCAGGTCGTAAAATTTTTATGAGTATAAGTTTTTGGAACAAAGATAATGTTTTGATCCAAGGTTCTGGTAATAAGTGGTTTTGTAATGGTTCAGATATGTAGTACTGCTTCCAAGCCTTATCATTATTATAGATATTATCTGTGAGACCATTAAAAACAGACAATGTTTTACTAAGATGACAAATATTTATCCAAATATCAGATGGTAACCAATCAATTACATAATCAGTAGTTATATGATTCAAGTTTGATGATATAAAGTATTTAATTTCTTCTTCTGTTGTTTGTCGATCTTCTAATAAGATCTTACAGCATAATAAGAAGGAATATAATATTTTATGTTTTTCTAATAAAGCTTTACAAACACTTGTATGAAGGTTTTTAGTGAATGAACTTTTTAAGAATTTTAATCGTTTTTCGAGAATGGTACTTCTATTTGATGTCTCAATTGATCTTTTGTATAACTGCATGAACCATAAGAATGAAAAACGGTACATATGATTTAAGTTTGCTAAGTCACTAAGCATATGAAACAGATTTACACAGTACTTAACAAATTGTACATAAGTATTTCGAGATTTTTTTATTTCCAAAGACATTGTGTTAGTCACCTCTTGCTTTTTAATTATGTTTAAGGAAAGATTCTTTGAGCAATCTAAACTTTTTATAGCATTTTCGTCGTCAAGAATATTTTTGGTTGTTGAAGATAATGTAATTAAAATATGATCTTCTTGTTGTTTCAATATTTTTTTATTATTGTGTTCTTCCATAAGTAAAATTTCAAATTTATTTTGCAGTTCTGGATTTTCCTTAGACATAATAAAGTCAAGAAGTCTATCCTGAAGACCTTCGTTTGAAATAGAAAAATCGATCACTGTAAGTTTGCTAAATATTTCACACGAGAATTGAGGATTAAGTAGCCTTGTTGTAATGTATAATCGAAAGTCAGTAGAATATTTTATAGAATCATAATCAGTATTTAAATATAAGAACTCTTCTTTGCTGTAAGTTTCTTTTGAAAGAAAAGGGTACAATGATATTTCTAATTCTTCTCCAACATTTTCAATTAAAGTAGGAATACCGTTTTCAATATTGTATTGAATATTTGATACATAATCAGAATCACTTAGTTTAATGATTTTAAGATTATTTTTCTTTTCAATTGTCTTAATCCATTGGTTTGCTTGATTTTGTGAATCAATAAATAGACACCATAATTCAGAATTGTTCATAATAATTGCATTTTCAAGAGAAAATCTGTCTTTAGGCAAACCACATAAATGCCATTGATTTATTTCATTTTCTTCTCCAAGTACATTTATTAAATTGTAGTTTCTAGTATATGATATATTTAAACCTTCTAGAAATTCTTTCCAGTATTCTAAAATTGTATCACGAAACACAATGTTATATGATGCTAAATAACTTATGATGCCACATGTTAGTATCATATCTCCTATGAGATTATCATAATTTTCTTTAAGATTATTTGCTAACTGCATCCAACGATCTTTTTCACCTCCCAAACTTGCCATTAAATTTTCTGCTTTATGAAGCTTATTAGTACAATTTTCTACTTCTTCTTCCAGCTTTACTTTTTGTTGTAGGGTTTCTTGGAGACTGCTATTCAGTGCTGTAAGTTTTGCATTTAATGCAGAAAGCATTGCACGTTTTTCATTTAAAAATTTTTCGACTTCATTACATTCCTTTTGTGCAGTAAACAATTTTTCTTTCTTTGGTGCAACAGCTTTTGCAACTTCATCATAGGACACCATTGCACGTACCCATTTACATAGTCCTTCAGCAGCACTTGATGCTTTAGCAACGATATGTGGTTTAAAATTGTTATCTGGCATGTATGTTTTCTTAATAATTTGCATGATATTTGGAGAAATGTTATCTTTATCATAATCTTTCAAAATCTGTAAAAAATTCATGTCACTTAAAATGCGCTTACTTGGACCCCAGTAATCTGTATACTTTTTACCAGTAACTGAATCTATGGCTTTTTCTGGGGGAACACCCAGCATAACACAAACTGCAGCCATTACTAGCTTAATAGCATCAGGAGGATTTTTCATGGCTTTAACAAGTGTAATATCTGTAGGTTTCAATGTGTTTAATGCAGCAATAGCATCTTCTAAAATTGGAATTGCTATAGCAAGATCAGCTTCACATTCCATTTTTAATCTTCCAGCTATTTCTGCTTTTTTGTTTGCAGTTTTTTCTTCTTGTTGTACAAGACGAGTCGCTTTTTCTACACTGATATTTTCGTTTTCTACTTCCTTCATAGTATTTATAGTTTTTAAAGCAGATGATTCTAATTGGGGTTTTAATATTGTTAATGTAGCTTTCATCTTTTCAACTTGTTGAGCTGCTAATTCTAATTTTTCTAGTCCTACTAAATATCTGTTTCTCATTGTTACAATCTGTTTTTGTTTTTTTGATACAAGGTGGACGTATAGTTTCAACATATGTAAAAATGAAGATGATAATATGTGAATTCTTTTACCACTTTCTTGATAATATTTGTCACTCATTTCCTGCATACTGTTATATAATTTTATGCAAGCTGTTGGTAGATTTGCTTTTAAATTTCCTTCCATATTAATATTTTGAATGTATTTTGTAGCTACTTGTATAAGTGTCTCTGTTGGCCATGCTTCATACCAATTTATAGAGCAATATTTTAATAGTTCTGGATATTTATATAAATATGATTTAGTTGCTTTATCCAGTGAATCAAAACAAATGACGATATGTAAATTGCTTTTACACTGTTCTAAAAAATAATTCATTACAGAATGATTACTTACTTCTGCATTTTTGTTACCACCTTGAGCATGCAGACGTACCATTTCAATAATATCATACTTCTCTTTAATGGAAAATAAATCAGGCACTTCACCTGTTGCTAACAAGCTACTAATATCACAAAAAATATTATTTGTTACTTGTTTAACTTTTATAAAAAGTACAGAAGGCTTTCTTAATCCACCACATTTTTGAAGAATTGTTTTTAATTCAGTTCTCCATACATTGATATCATAGTAAGAATGAATAGAGGGTTTAAATAACTCTTGTTGTTGAATGTAAGCAGCAAGATTCATCAGAGATTTTCTACCAGTTCCTACAGTAGAAATCATCAATAAATTACCCCTTGGGATAGATAAAATTCTTGAAATTTTAATTAAACATTCCAAAACGTATTGTGATGTAACAATATCAATTTTATTTGTTACATTATTATTATGTTCGTTTAAATGTGAATGAATTTCACTTTTTAATTTTTCAATAGATGTTACTTCTTCATATTTTTTATTTTTATCTATAAAATTGTTAAACATTAAATAATTGAAACTGTTCATAGTAATTTCATTATTTTCTGATTTTGGTAGATAATCAAAAACTGTTTCAAACGAATCTTTAAAATTACTTATTGTGGTTTCTCTTATTTTTGAGAACAACCATTCTTTATCAGCAGCATCTAATATTCGATCACCAAAAACTCTCCATATTTCATGAGCCCACAAACGAACAAAAGTAACTTTAGTTTCTACTGATTCTTTTTGAAGAAGAATACATCCACTAATTACTTTGCTTATATCTCTAATACTAAATTGATACTGAAACTTGGCAGGTACTGGTCGCAATGTATTAATTATCATGTTGTAAATGTCAATTGTAGCATTAGTTATACTGTTTACAGAAGTCAAGACATCTGGAGCAAAAGAATTCTTCTTTAAATTAATGAAAAGAATGTTTGAAAATATTCTGAATATGGTATTAGTAGAAGGTGCTTGTATAGTATATAAATTGAAATGTTTTAAAAATCTGGGACATATATTAGTTTGAGTATTTTGTGTAATTGCAAAAGAAAACATAATATTCTGGATAAAAATTTTTTCAGATTCATTTATATCATAGAAATATCTATAACTATGATATTGTCTAAAAAGTTCTAAAATATTATTTATGTTTGATTGCTGATCTACTTCTACATTAAGATCATCTATGAAGTTAACACAGAATTGATCATTTGGTGGACCATAATGTGTTTTATTTATTTTATTTAATTTTGAAAGCAACAGCTGTTGTGTTTTAATAACAGAGTTCAAAGAAGTAAAACTGAAAGAATTAAAATCTGTTCCTTGTGATAGTTTATTTTGCAATAAATTTTTCATAAGAAATGTTTTCCCAATAGATATATCTCCACAAAGAATGAAAGGTATTTTATATTTAACATGTTTTAAAAATACATAATTATACTTGATCGTATCAGCTGTTGGTACATAAATTTCACTACAATAAGGCATTTCTAATATTTCTTCATTTTTTAACAGATCAATGCTTCCCCAATATTTCCAATGCCCAGCACCTTTGAAAATATAAAAATTATCTTGTATTAAGCCTTCATTAGGTAGTGCTACATCATAACTTTTTATTGCTTCTGGTTTTGGATACTCTTTGTTCGTGCCACTCCAAATTTCCACAAAAAAAGAATTAAACTTAACATGAGAATCTATACTAACATTTCCACCTAATCCCCAAATAATAGATAATATAAATGCAACTTGCATCCATGTTGTAAAATAATTTGTTTTATCTTTTTCTTCAGTACATTCTGTTAGAGCATCTGTAAAATACATTTCTAACAAATTCAGTGTGGTCATTACAAAATGTAATTTCTCAACAATTAAAGATAATGTACAATGTTTGTATATAAATTGTAAAGCAGGATCCATAATCCATTCAAACAATTGATACAATATTTCTTCATATCCATTATAGATATTGTTTCTAGAAATATGTGTTTTAATATTTGATCTCCAATTGATAGAATTTGATTCAATATAAATTATACCACATCTTGATAAAATAGCAGGAGAAGCCTCTGTCATATTTGTTGTTTCAAAGATAACTGATACAGAATCTGCTACATTAATTTTTTCACCCGATTCTAAACATAACACCTTATTTGTATCAATAGTTGAATATAAATTTTCAATCCAAACATTATTTAAAGGTCCATCAAATATTATCCATGTTTTATCAAAAGAATTAGTATTTGAAAAAGAGCGAAACATTCTGGAACATAATCCATCTTTCCAAAGCTTAGAATTTTCATCAAAATAACCAAAAATACGTTTAATATCAAGTACATTTGGAATTATAGTTTCTAACTTTATATTAACACCAAACTCAATTTCTTGTTTATATGAGTATGATAAAACATCCTGAAGTACAGATAAAATTTCTGTTTTTCCTACAAATGGATCGCCAACAAGGATTAAGCCTTTATGTATATACATTAATTCAAATAACTGTATTATTTTAAGTTTAAAAACATCATGAATGCTCAAAGATTTAGATTTACATATTACTTCAAGAGTTTTTAAAAATATTGAGTAATTTGGAGGTAGCAAAGTAATATCTGGAAATACATTGTGAACTATATCTTTAAAAACAAGTACATCTACACCACATAGTTGAGGGAGATTGATATCGATCAACGAACGCAGAAGTAAAAGAGATTCATTCTCATCTGGAAAACATCTTTTTAAATAAACTATAGTTTTAGTAACTGCTTTTATAGAATATAAATTAAAAGTATTACATGATTTACATCGTAATTGCTTAGATAGTACTTTGTAAAATGTAATTAATTTCATAGTTAAAGATTTTGAGTTGGATATACCAGCAGCAGTTAGCTCAACCTCTACAATTCTACTAATATCTGGTGCAACCATAGATACTGTTCTGAATAACATTTTTAAATTATCAGGTAAACCATGATAGTTAAATAAGCCTAATTGTGTGATAATACAAACATATCCAGTTGGATTCAGATTCAATGATGAGCCCTCATACATTATTGTTTTCAAATTTGATGCTATGGCATGAAAAATAGAAATTAAATTTTGACTAATTCTAGATAAGAATTCAAGTTTCAATTCATTAAAATTTTCAAAACAAAGCCATGCTCCACAAGAAATGAACCCTTTAAATGTTTGAGAGAGAAAATTATAAGACAGTATATTAACACAACTAAAAATATGAAAATTTACTGCAATAGCTTTTGCTAAACCTCTTATAGTTTCTGTTTTTCCTGTAGCTGATGGTCCTGCAATAGCTCCATATAAATGATATTTATATGCTTGGATAAGAGTATGAAAACATCTGTCTGTTAATGCAGTGTTAATCATACATTGTTTGTAGTAACTATATTCATATCCATATTTTATAGTACTATTAAATATTAATATTTTTACACAATTTTCCTCTAAATAGTACTGTAATTGTGCAATCCATTCAAAGTCTGCAGAATTAGTAATATTTTTGTTTATTAGCAATTTAATGATATCTTTCTGATTTATTATTATTGTAATTAAAGACATTAATACATCTCTACATCTTTTTGTTGAACAGCTTTTCAATTCATTGATTAAATCATTGAGATGGTCAACATATTTTAGGTGTAATGAATTCAGTAATTCAGAATTAAATGGTGTAAAACAATTTCGAATTTCAGAAGTCCAATAAAGTTGGAAAATACAAACAATTACCATACTTGGAAAATTCGCAATATTACTGTATGTGAATATGTCACTAAACTTCTGATAACATTGCAAAATACTTTTTTTTATCACAGTATCTATCTCATTTTCTAAATGTACTAACCATTTTTCTTCACTATCATACTCAGCATGAAGTGAAATCAAATTTTCTAAATGTACTTCCTCTCCATAATCACCAATAATAGTACAAATACAATTATTTTTATTCATTTTTATTTTTTTTATGCCCTGAAAACATTTTTGTATTGATGTGTGTATCTTTTCAGAATGAAACGAATTAAATAATATTTCTTGAACTTCTTCATTAGAAAGAAAGAAGAATCTTGGAAAACATAATCTTTTAGCTTCTATATAATTTTTTACTCCTGCATGGACTTGTTCAAGTTTTTCTGTAATATTGCATAAAGAACTTAAAAGCAGGGGATTATTAATTTCTGTAAAAGTAGGATTCTTTACCAGCTTATTTTTAATATCTTTCAAAACTTCTTTAATTTCTTGATATAAATTTGATTCTTCAATTAACTGCACTTTTATATTAGAATGATGAAAAGTAGCATTTAATGAAAGTATTAATATTTGAATATAGTTCCACTTGTTGATAATTTTTTGAATTCTGATAAGGGATGTATAAAAATCTGTCACCATTGAAATTATTGGCTTAACAAAATTTGAAGTTTTCATGTCTGCAATTATTACAAGATGATTTTCAAGTAATAATTCTGTGTTATTTAAATTGGAAAATTCATGCATTCCAGATGTTTCATTAAATTTTATTTCAAAAGAAATGTTATCCCATTCTTTGATCATTTTCAGTAAATTTTGTTGCAGTTCTAATTCTTTATTTGCACCTATGCTAATAGCTTCATATTTTTCAATATCAGGCATTAAATCAAGTAAAATAATTTTTCTTAAAGTTGTTCCAGCATTAGGTGTCAAGTCAAGGTTGCATATTTCAGACATTTCAACCCAGTGTCGTTTTTGAAGAGCTGGATTACATACACATGTTACTAATGGTAAAAATTTCTTAAAATCATTTATATCATTAAGTGCTTGCCAGCACAACTTTAATGGAGCAGGTAGCTGCAGTGGATCTGGATCATCTGCGATTCCAGAAAATTTGAAGCATTTGTTTACAGTTACATCCATTTTAATTTTTGTTTTAAATGTTTTACTCATTTCAGTAATTTCTTTAAAATAGTTCAGTGTCTTGTTTTCTATAATAACAGCATCTAACCATTCAAAGGGACCATCTAGCCATACTGTGCTGTCTTTTTGCCACTGATAAATAAGATATATAAGATCATAGAATGGCATAATTATCTCATGTAATTCTGTTATTTTAGGATATTCAGTTTCTGGAAATTTGAATAATCTTTCTTCTTCATTGATTTTTTCTAGTTCAGATGTTATGTGTTTTACTTTTTTAAGAAAACCTTTATAATATTCAACATATTCTCCAACTCTTTTTATATCATCCATATTATCCAAAGCACTAAGTTCTGGAACAATATTTTCTACTTCAGAAGTTAAGTCATTCATTCTTCTCTGCATGTCATCTTCTAATTCACTTTTCATTGCTTCACATAATATGTGATGCTGTTTAAATATCGGTTCAATTTCATGCAACCAATTGATAGTTCTTCTATTTAATTCAATATGATCCTCTGATAGAAGTGTAACTTCTAATAGGACGCTCATCATGTGAATTGATTTCTGAATTTTACATTCTAAATCTTTCACTAATATGTTGGATGCATGTAAAATATATTCACTTAATTCAATTAAGTGTTGTGCATTTTTTGGTATATTCAGTGCTTTTCTTTTTATCTCTTCGAATTCTGAACAAATGGATAAATTAAATTCTTGATGATATTTAATCAATTTACTTAAAAACATATCAACAATATTATATGACTCATTTTTCAAAGCTTCTTTAGCATTATGTTGTTCTAATTTTCCTACTGTGTGATATGTATTCTCTACAATTTCATTCCCTTTTGCTAAATATGTTTTATACTTTTCTATGTTTTCAAGATATAAGTCAAAATCCACTTCCCCTGATGTTAATAATAATATTTGTTCTTTTATTGTAGGTTCACATATGGGATAAAATTCTTTGCTAATATGTCTAACATGTTCGTTCATTCGTTGAAATAATTGATACAATATAACATCTAATTTGTTATGAGATTCTGTGACATAGTAATCAGGTAATTGAATTTTAATATATTTGGAATGAGATTTTATATTTAGCCACTCTTCTAGAGGTACTAATTCTTGAGCAATAGTACTAATATTGTCAATTATGCTATGATATACTGAAGATATTTCTTCAATGCTAGGATCAATAAGAAGTTTATTATTCCATAGAGTAAGTTGAAATTTAATTTGTGGGCAATGGTGTCCATCACTTAAAATATTCAGTAAATGATTAATAGATCTTATCATAGTATTTATAATTTGTTGTACAAAAACATGTGTCATACAATGCATAATATTTAACTTTTTTCTATCAGCATACCTTCCAATTGCTGTCTTAGCTACAGCTTTAGATACTTCTCTATGAAACTGATTTATCCTAATCCAACACTTTTTAATATCACTAGCAACCATGGTTTGAAAATCAGTCAATGCTATAAGTCCACAAGAATAATAATGGTCAAAATTACAGATAAATGTTGGAAGTTTACATTGTGCCACATTTATAATGATTTTAATTGGTTCCAAAGAAAGAAAATATCTTTCTCTTAACAATTTACAGTGCTTTATAAATGTCTTATGATTAAAAACATTTTTCTCATTCGAAATTTTATAATTGGGGCAACTTGTTATAGAAAAACAATCCATATCTTTTCTTGGCATAAAAAATGTAGTTTCCATTATAAAATTTTGTATGTCTTTTGCATAAATATCTTTTATTTCCTTTAATATTGATTGTATTAGCGAAGAATATTTCTTCTTATACCTTTTTGGTAATAAATTTAAAATGTATTCTTCCCAATTGGTTGGGAACCTTGTTTCCATGTTACCTAAACATATTTCTTCATTATATGTTAAAAGAAATGATTGATTTTATATTATTTTAAACAAATTACCTTATTTTGTAGTGTCTATAAGAATTAAGGATGCAGTGTTTTATAATAATTTTAAATACAGTTATAACATGTAGCACACTAAATATAGTATAAGTTTAAACCATGAATAGAAAATGTTTTATCAATACTTGAGCATCAGTTTATTTGATTCGTGTACAATTATTTGTAAGAGTTATAATAATTCTATATATGTATATATGTAACATATATTAAAAGTGGTCTTCAAAACTGCATGTAAATATTAAAATATATATTATGTATTCACAATATTTTGGTTTTCATAGATAACCTCAAAATACAAAATGTATAATACATATATACTAGAACTCACAAAAAAGGCAATATTATAAGTCAAATTGGTTTCAACATACTTTTTAAATAAGACGTGTTTTGGTATTTATTTGTACATATTATTTTCTTTTATAATATTAATTGTATCATATTGTTTCCTTTGTGACAGGTAAAGAACATCAGCTTGTGTCAACATCGAACCAGTCAATACGTCAATTCTGCGTCCCTGTGAAACGCGCAATGGAATCATGAAATAAACTATTTATGTTAATAAAGAATTTTTCTCTATTGTTAAGAAGAATCTATAAACATGAGTAATATTTATATACAAGAACCACCCACAACGGGTAAAGTGAGTATTAATTAAAAAGTATTAGATACATATAACCTATAACAGTTAGTGTTTATGCTGAAACTAATATATATTTTATTTTATCTCATGGTAATTAAATAGGTGATGATGAAAACAACGGTGGGTGATATTGATTTAGAGTTATGGACAAAAGAAGCTCCCAAAGCATGTCGAAATTTTATACAACTATGTATGGAGGGATATTATGACAATACTATATTTCATAGAATTATTAAAGGATTTATAGCTCAAGGTGGAGATCCAACAGGCACAGGAGAAGGAGGTGAAAGTATATATGGACAAACATTTAAAGTATGTTACTGTTAAATATGAAATTACTATGCTTTTTTATTGCGTACTGATTATAAAATGTACATGTTTAGGATGAGTTTCATACAAGATTGCGATTTTGTCGACGTGGTTTACTTGCTATGGCTGGTGCTGGCAAGGATGATAATGGTTCTCAGTTCTTTTTTACATTTGGTCCTACACCAGAATTGCAGAATAAACATACCATCTTCGGCAAAGTTACTGGAGAAACTGTATATAATATGTTAAAACTTGAAGAAGCACTTGTGGATGAAGTAAGTTTATCATCTTAATGTAAAATGTTATAATTATTTAAAGGAAAATATTTTTGTGTTTTTAGAATGATAGGCCACTTTATCCTCCAAAAGTAATAAAGACAGAAATACTTAATAACCCATTCTCTGATATTGTACCAAGAACAACACCAAAAAGAAGCGAAGAAGCAAAGGACAGTACAAAAACTAAAAAAGCAGGAGTGAAGTAAGATAAATAAATGTTTAGAATAATCAAATGGATTATTAAATTTTTTATAACACTCTTTGTTGCAGAAATTTCAATCTTTTATCTTTTGGAGAAGAGGCTGAAGAAGATGAGGAAGAATATGTTACATTGAATAAGCAGTTGAGTGGCAAAAGTAAATCAGCTCATGATAATTTAGTAGATCCAAAGTTAAGCGCTCAAACGTCCGTCGAGCCAGCTGGTCCTCCAAGTAAAAAACGAAAAGAAGATCGTAGTAGTGACTGGGAAAGTGATGATGAAATAAAAACCACTGAAGAATTAGAAACGATAAAAAAGGAGAAAGAGTGGGTGTATTTAATTTCTTTTGTTCTATTCTAACATAAATAATTATACTTACAATATGGTACCTTTAGGGCAATGAAGGAAAGAATAAAGAGTAAACTAAGAGATACAAAGAAAGAACCTAAGAAAGTAGAAAGTTATAAAGTAGATGATACTGAAGGCGATAAGGATATAGAGGAAGAGTACTATCTTGGAAAAGATAGGGATATGGAACGTAAAAGAAAAGCGTACGTATTTTTTATTGTAATCATTTGTAGGGTTATTTTTGAATATTAATAATATGTTATACAGGGAAGAAATTAGAAAAGAAATCCGGGATTTAAAACGCGATGTTAAAAACGAGAAGAAAGCAAAAGAAGCTGATAAAAAAATACAACAAGCACAGGAAGAAAAGAAGGAAAAGAAAACTGAAATTATGAAAGAGTACATTGAAACCCAAGAGAAATATAAGGAAGCAAAGTCAAAACTACCTAAAAAGGGTAAAAGCCGCGAAGATTTTACTATGGAGTTATTGATGAAATTTAAATCTAAACTTCAAAATGCTAAAGAAACTAAAAGAGAAACATCGCCGGAACCATCGAAAACGGAAAACGATAAGGAAGACGATTTTGATCCAGCTGACGAATCTTGGATGGTACATACATTACATTGCGAAGAAAAAGCCCCTGTTTTGGCTAAGGATGCCAGTACGAAAGACGACGATTGGTTTGAAATTTACGATCCCCGAAATCCACTTAATAAACGACGAAGAGGAGAAAAGTCATCCAAGATAAACGACGACAAAAGTAGACGAACTGATTCTCGTCGTAAATAATATGTATAGAACAAAATTATCTGTATTGCTGTACAGAATTGTGTATAAAATGTATATTACACTAAGTACATTTTTTTTTTTAATAAAAATGTCGGTATGTTCTGAAGCTTAAACTTTGTTAATTCTTTACCTAAGTGATAGATTAAAGGAAACATTGTATAGAGTATTTTTATAGAAATGATATTTATGCTTTCCTGATATGCGATGTTATCGTATACTAAGGGATAACTAATATTTTGATGGCGAAGATAGATAGCAAGGGTACCATGATTTTGTGCAAATAGAATGTATAGATCGTAGCTTATTCCGGCTACAGTAAAAATTGATAAGACACTGATACAAAGCATGGCATGTTCCTCGACCGATTCAGTCGATCTGCTGACAACGAACGCTATACATCGTGTATTCATGCAATTTTCCGATTAAATAAACGTAATTAACCGCTTCATTTTACGAACTACAGAAACACGAACTTAACAAATCTCTACGATTATAAATGATGACTTGTATAATATTCTAAATAACGTCAAGAAGAATAACAGTTCAAGATAACACCGTTTCTCAGAAAGCGTGAGAATTGAATATTGCTCAAGTATAGTTTGTATCTTTTGAAGTTTGATTGACGAGTTATCAGCGAATTTAATTTGTGTTAGTGCGTGTTACCATCAGTGATCCACAGTGTGTCTATGCCTTGCTTTCACAGGGAGAATGTCAACGACGCCATTAAAAATAGATATACCTGGTATGCTTTGTTCTTTTACTTTTGTTTATTAAAAAAAACCATTCGATATTACTTATCGTATCGTTTAAAAATCTGCTACTGCAGTTTGAACACAAACAGCACAGATGTTTATTTTTAAGAACTGATAAAAATGAAACGGAGTATCTGTGGTAATTAAATCTGTCGTAACCGCTGTAACGTTATGACTTTTCACCTGTTTTTCTTTGTTAAATGGTGAAATGAGATGCGCGCAATGTATTGAACACGTATATGTTATATGTATATACGCATAATCGGATAGTGGAGATTAAAGTTATTAATTTCTAGACATAAACAAGAGTATATGCAAACGGATATTTAACGGTAACACATTTGTTGCTCACTCGATACCACGTACTTACTTGTCAACGCTAAATGTTCGATCACGCGATATCGCGTGCTCGGGCGTTAACACTAAACATCCGATCACGTGATATGGTGCGTTCGGTAGGCACTAAGAGGCCGCCCACGCGATATCGCGTGAGAGCTAAATATTGAAAGGTGTATTACAAAATTTTTAATTTATAAATTTATAAATTGACAAATTAATAAATTAACAAATTGATAAATTTACAAATTGACAAATTGTGAAAGATATTAATGGTTTGAAAAGGATAAAAATTAAGATTGATAAATGAAATAAATGATTACGTAATGCTATTATTTATTTGAATCGTCTGTAGGCAGGCCAGTATTGCGCTTTAAAATTGAGTATGATACATCCATTCTTTAATCGTATGTTCTTTGATGTAGCTCATTTAGTCGTAATAGCAGCAATATATTAATCTCCCTTCATAAGATAGAACAGGTTTTTATGCTTAAGTTATTATCTTGGTATATGTGTACACCTACATAGAGTGACCAATTCCCCGCAATTATTGAATTATTTCTTTTAACAAATCTAACAGAATTTAAATAAGATGTTCTGCCAATGTAATTGATCAGATTGATTAAATTGATTAAATTGATTAGATTGATTAGATTGATTAGATTTGTATAGATGATTAATTTTTATGGTACATTATATTTTATTAGGGGTGTGGGAATTTGGGATATTGCAGAGAATTAAATTTCCAAATTTCCAAATTCCCAAATTTCCAAATTTCCAAATTCCCAAATTCCCAAATTTCCAAATTCCCAAATTCCCAAATTTCCAAATTCCCAAATTGCCAAATTCCCAAATTTCCAAATTCCCAAATTCCCAAATTCCCAAATTCCCAAATTCCCAAATTCCCAAATTCCCAAATTCCCAAATTCCCAAATTCCTAAATTCCCAACTTCCCAAATTTCCAAATTCCCAACTTCCCAAATTTCCAAATTTCCAAATT